TAGTTGAAGAGAAGCACAATATAGAATCCTATATGCAGGAATAATTCCATCATTTAAAATACGTATGCATATATGTATAGGATATACATAAATCTATGTATAGTGAAGAAGAAGGAAATATACCAAAATGCTATTAGTGGTTATCACTGATTGGCAATGCTTTTCTATGTTTCCTACATCAAGCATATATTAATTTCTTCAACAGAAAAAAAAATATTTTTTAGCTGACACTATGAATAAAATTGGTAAAGACGTTCTTGGGGACAGAAGAAGGGCTTTGGATGGGAGGTGGAGAAGGGGGTGGGTGAGAGAATGCCTCCTAGTGGGCTGCTTGCTCTCCTCACTGAGGAATTATCTCTAATGCAAAGGCCCCTTTCCCCCCACCAGGACCACTGCCCCCCAAGTTCCCCCTACTGCCTCCCTCGGCCCTTCCTTTGCCCTCCAGTGGAAACCCTGTAGGTTAAGGTCTCATACAGCTTTTCTTCTTCTTTTTTTAAAATATATTTTTATTGATTTCAGAGAGGAAAGGAGAGGGAGAGAGAGACAGAAACATCGATGATGAGAGAGAATCATTGATTGGCTGCTTTCTGCACTCCCCACACGGGATCGAACCGGCAATCGGGGCATGTGCCCTGACCGGGAATCGAACTGTGACCTCATGGTTCATAGGTCAATGCTCAACCACCGAGCCATGTCAGCCGGGCGAGATCTGCTTTCCATGCCCGCCCTGCTTCCAAGTCTGCTTTTGCCCCTGTGGGGATGCTGTTGAGTGAGGCTACCTAAACAGCCTGGCTTTCTCATTCCCCTCTGGGTCTGCAGTGGTCGTACAAGGCTGAATTTAGCAGGATACACTCATCAAGGCCCTGGACCTGCTTTCTCTCATCTCACACCTCCACTGTCCAGAAGGAACACTCAAATATACGAGAGTACTTGAGCCCAGGGGGCACTAACGTGACTATAGAGGCAGCTAAGCAGGCACAGCAAACTGCAGCTATGCAAGAGAGAATCCAGCCTTTAGCACCCCAGGCATAACTATGCATAACAGACGATTCCGGAACTTGGGTAAAATAAAGAGCAAATGGGGAAAACAGAGTCACTATTATGTGTGTCAGTTACAGCCCTGCAGTGAGGGAGTTACCTTGGAAATTTCTCTCTCAGGGGCAGCAAAAGCACCATGCATGTTAGACCAGCTTCCCCCATGCCCTCTCAACGATGCAATGACCATTAACTGACCACAATTTTCCCAGAGCCAGCTGGATCCTGTAAGAATCTGCGGCGGCTCCCCACTCCAGATGGCTCGGTAAAGTTGAATTGGCTGTTTGGTGCTTCGCTGTCATCATCAAAGCAGACCGTGTTCAGGTCCAGAAGCAACGTCCCCTTGGCTGCTCGTTCAGGCACCATAATGCTGGTGAAGAGACGTGATTCAATAGTTTCCCCAACAAATGGCGACTGAGTGTTCCTTCTGACATAGACCCAAGGCCAGACACCTCCGCTTTAGTTTCAGTTCAAAGCAAGTCCCTGGTAACTGCAGTAACGGCCTAACTAGAGTCCCTGCTCTGCCCTGGCCTCCTTTCCGGCTGTCCTTAACACACCCGCCAGAGGGACCCTGATACATGCTGTCAGGTCGGGTCACTCCTGCTCCTCAATCACACGTGGCTCCTCATTGCACTCAGAGTCCTGACTTTAACCTGTGCACCACTCCCCTCACCCTTACCTGTCTGAACTCATCACTTCCTTGTTCCCTCTACTCCAGCTGGCCCGGTGCTCCTTGAACACTCCCCAGGCTCTGCCCTCAGGGCCATTCCACCTACTATGGAATGCCCTTCCCACCAAGGTCCATGTGGCTGTCTTTTCGCTTTCTTTAATCTCTAACCCAATGTTACCTTCTCAGGAGGCTATCCGGGCGATCCTACCTAAACTGTGAATGAGCCCTGCCCATAGCTTCCTCTCCCATTCCCCCTTTTTATTTTTAATTCTTGGCACTTGTTGTTTTCCAATATACTAGATAGCTTACTTATTTATCTGGTTCATCATCGTTTGCCCCACTCGACTGTAAGCTCTACAAGGGCAGGGATCTTTGTCTGCTTTGTTCTGGACATGCTCAGTAGACATTTGTTGAATGAATGGATGGTAGCTTATGAGACTAGCACAGTAGTAAAGAAGAATACATATAAAGAAGAATGTAAGAAAAATATAAATTCTTCCACCTCCTGTCAGAGTTTACAATCTGCTTAGGGGAAACCCGGCACCCCTCACCTTCCATGCTTTGAAGGTTGGGAATTCCTCTACTTGTTTCTAATAGCATCAATATCACAGCAGGGGGTCAAGCACCTTAGTATTATTCATTCAATAGAGGTTTATTAAGAGTCAAATTCAGGGCTCCTAATCTCTGATGGTCCCAGGGTCTAAGCAAACAGCACAAGTAAAGCTGCCCACAACCAAGAGCTATCTGGTCAAGCCCAGCTTGGCATGGGAGACTGAGGAACATGATTAACACTGACAGGCTTCAGGTCATTGAGGAACTTTATCATGCTTCCAGGTTTCAGTTTTCCCATCTGTAAAATGGACGTAAATGATGCCAGTTAGCTTTTGTTACATAACAAACCAGCCCCAACGTAGTGGCTTAAAGCAACAGGCACATATTATTTCTTTCAATATTAAGGATTAGCCATTCATTCTTTTGGTTCTAGTTCAGCTTGGCTGTGGTCACTGGTAGCTTGGCTGGGGCTAGATCTCTAGGATGACCTTGTCCACATGTCTGGTGGTAGGAAGGTGGTAGTTCTATCTCATGGCGTCTCCTATCCTCCAGGAGACTAGTTCGGGCTCTTCACATGAAGATCTCAGGTTTCCAAAAGTAGCAAAAGAGGGCAAGCCCCAGTGCACGTATCCTTCCAGGCCTCTGCTGGGCCACATTTGTGAATGTTCCAACGGCTAAAGCAACTGATGTGGTCAAGGGCAGATTCAAGTAGTAGAAAGAGAAACCCTATCTTGACGGGAGGAATGGTGAAATCACATTGCCCGCAGACAGGCAGGGAGGGATTTGTGGCTGGTGTTTTGGTTTTGGGTTTGTTTGGGTTTTTAGTTTTGTTTGTTTATTTGTTTTTGCTACCTACCTTCAATCATAGTTTGCCTCGGGCAGAATTTCTTACAAAAAGTGTATTTGGCTGCCATGAGAATGTGCCTGGAAGACCTTCAATCACAGGAACATAATTGACCCCAGATGCCAGCTGCTGGGCTCTGAAATCCATTGCTATGTTTGCAATGAGGCCATGTGCCCATGACTGGGCGTGGCAGAGATTAAGACAGGCTCATTCCTGTGCTAGGGCAGCTGACTTCGGCTTCAGGACTTCCCAGTGCCCTAGACGAACCTTCCATAGACAGCATGGCCTGCTAGAACGTTTCTGCCCTCCTCGCCCCCTCTTTCCTTCATTCAGGTCAGACTTGCGTCGTGGTCTGAGGACTCTCCCAGCCTCCTCATTGTCTTCTGCAGGCATTTCCCCTAATAAATGCCTTTAACATTTACTCCTGTCTCCTCAGAGCACCCAGACTAATGTGTTCAATTCTTTAATCCTCTGAACTATCACCTCTCTACAACCAAATTGTGCTCCCTTCCACTATTGGCAGCTAAAATGGGCTCTGGGCTCAGCAAATGTGGAGCAAATTCTGACAGCCAGGATGGTCTTAGGCTGCTGAGGATAACTGGGTTCGCTCCCTGGAAAGTACTTTTTCTGACAGGTGTAACTGAATCTCCATGATGCCTCCGTGTTTCAGCAGGACTGGAGTCCAAGCATTTCCATTCCTGCCTTGCATACACAGTGTCATGGTTTTTATTACCAAGTACTTGGAATAGATGCCATTTATTAAATACCAACTATATGCTGTATCACTTTAAAAATATCATCTCTAATCCCCTCATTTCCAAAAGGTTTATATTCTTGTCTCCTTTTAGAGGTGAAGAAAGAGTCGTTTGGAGTGGTTTCAAGACCTGTCCAGGAAAGTTGATGCATACGGGCACAATTCCCTATTGTCTGTGTTAGAGTCACAGTAAATACTACTTCAAGTTCCATGATTCAGTGAGTCTCCAGGCCCACAGATGGTTTGGGAATCTGAGCCTTGATTCTAACTCTGCAGAGACCAGGAGGTTGCATCATGCAAAGAATCCAGGGTCCTGAAGCCAGATGACTCACTATTCACACACTCAGCCCCTCAGGGCTGCCTGGCATGTGCTTTTCATTCATCTCTGACACTTGGTATTTTCCCCCTAAACACTTGGCTTGGAAAACCACTCCTCCTCATTCATCAATCCCTGCCTCAAAAGCAGGTTGCCCCCACTCCCAGCCATCTGACCACGGTCCCCTCCCCAGGCAAAGGTGACTGGCCCAGTGACATTCGAAATCAGCTGACCTTCTCTGGCTCTGGCCCTCAGTAAGTACTTTTAGCCTCATAGTTTACAACCAGAGTGGGGCTGTCACAGGCTTTTGATGCCTCCATCAGGGCCCTGGGTTCATTCATCACCAGCCTGGGAAAAGTAGGGGCCTGGGTCTAAGGGCTATTTCCCTCTTGGCCCAGCCCGAGAGCCTGAGACTCACAAGACAGCGGGGGGCCAGGCACGCAGCCCTGCCTCCTCCCACCCTCTTCTACCTGCTCTCCCCAACTCCAATGCAGGGATGGCACCAAGAGCCTTGAGCCCTGAAGGTGTGAATATTCAGGGACAAATGTTGTTAGAGTCAGGTGGCAGCACTAGTTCTGTTGTTTGGTGTGCTTGGACTCTGGCATGGTGGGAAGGGGAAGGAGATAAGGATGGGAGGATGGGAGGTGATGCAGGGTCAGGGTTCCCAGCCCCTGCAGTATGCAAATGAGGCTTGGTTTTGGAGTAAAGACCTCCAAGGAGCTTTCTGTTGTCCTGTCTCACATCTTGTCTGGAGGGACTTGAGCATTATTTAGAGTTACCTTTAGTAATAAATACAATTAGTTCACTTACTTCTGGCTTTGACTTTCAGAGCTAATTTGGAGAGAAGATTATCAAGAGTAGGATTCTACATGGGTTTTCCTGGACTGTCTAGGATATTTAAAATGTGATTTTACCAGCCAATATGGAATGGAATGCTGTCTGCAAATGCCATCCATGCATCAGGGTTCTCCAAAGTGCAGGAGGCCACAGCGTGCATTTAACAGCACTGCACCAAGGGGAGAAAGCTGACAAGGAAGCGTGGAGAGAGCACAGCCCTCCCCAGTAAGTACTGTACTCAGACTTCTTACTCCTCAACCCCTTCCCCCACCTTCAGGCCAGGGAACAGAAGAAGAGCAGCAGCGCCTAGAAGGGCAGCATAGGAGGAGAGGAATTCCCCAGGATGCACTGGAGCCACTCAAGAATGCTAGCATAGATTTAGATTTTCAAAGAAAGTAGAGGTGTGACCTTGCATGTCATCTCTACTCCAGCCCCAGGGCCCAGACTTCTGGTAACAGTGGTGGATTCAATTTATACACGTAATGGGGTAGAAGTCACAATCCTAACTACCTATGGCACCATCTGCACCCATCAAACAGGCTCTGAGGTTATGGTTGGAATAGGAGCCTATCACATGATCAAGGTTATTATTGACTTGAGGGCCTCAGCAGGAAGCGGATGGCAAATTAGGATAACTCTAAAGGAGGTTTAGTAAAGAGACTACCACAAAGGTATATGGGAATATGGGTGGTGCAATATCTCTGGCCTGATAAGAGTGGATCTTCCATTTCTAGGTCAGAGGAGCCAGTGCAAGGAGCAGTCCCTGAAACTGGAATCCAGGGATGGACAGTGCTGTGTGCTGAGGGCTGCCTTATAGGAACTGAGACCTGCAGGAGGTGGAGGGACTCATCCAGCTGATGGGGAGGGAGCCAGGGGAATAAATACTCTGATTTCATGCTCCCTCTCTTCCTACTGGCCAACCAGAAGCTGCAGGGCAAGGGAGCCAGTTGATATCTACATAAGTCAGCCTCCTGGGACACAGAGCAGGGAGGAAGGCTGGAAGCTGGGTCTGAGGGGGCAATGGAATGTATCTAGAACAAGGTTTACAGTTTGATATCAGGCTCAAAGCCACACTTAATCTTAGCATTATGCTGGGCATGCCAATTGGGAGAACAGGGAGACATTTACCAACATAATAAAGGAATTCATATTTCTATTGCTTGCCCTAGACCAGTGGTTTTCAGCCTTCCTAATGATGTGACCCTTTAATACAGTTCCTCATGTTGTGGTGACCCCCAACCATAAAATTATTTTCGTTGCTACTTCATAACTGTAATTTTGCTACTGTTATGAATCGTAAATATCTGATATGCAGGATGTATTTTCATTGTTACAAATTGAACATAATTAAAGCATGGTGATTAATCACAAAAACAATATGTAATTATATATGTGTTTTCTGATGGTCTTAGGCAACCCCTGTGAAAGGGTCATTCGACCCCCAAAGGGGTCGCGACCCACAGGTTGAGAACTGCTGCCCTACTAGTGGTTGGCAAACTGCGGCTCGTGAGTCACACGTGGCTCTTTGGCCCCTTGAGTGTGGCTCTTCCACAAAATACCGACTTCTGCACATGGGCCACGAAGTTTCAATCGCACTGTACATGCACGTCCGCACGTGGTATTTTGTGGAAGAGCCACACTCAATGGGCCAGTTTGCTGACCACTGGTCTAGGGGCCTTCGCTCTTTCCACAGCCACACTATGGATTGTGCCTGTGCCCAATGTCCCCTGGAGTTTAAAAAGTCAACTTGTAAAACCAGTCAAAGATGAACGGACAAACTCCGAAGGAGACTCTCCATGTGGACATCTGAACATGGAACTACTCTGGTCGCCAGCTTGCTCCAGGGGGAGCCACCTTCAGATTCCTAAGAAACTGGAGCTAGCTATTCCAAAAGCACTGCGGAGATGAAGCTACCCCAGGCAGTCGCTAATCTTGTGGCATTTAGACAAACTACTTAGTAGAAAGACAATACTGTTTTCAAAAAGGCATATGAACCCAGAGTCACAAGGGACTTTATTTTAAAGTAATGATGAATAGATTGTGAGACAAACAACAGATCAAAACACACAAAATAACTTGCATCCCACTTGTATCTGCATTTCCCCCTTTCTACTGCCTTTCTTTACATGCAATTAAGTTGCGTAAAGTGAATTAGATGCTTTGTTTTGTTTTAAGTAAATACTTGGTTTGATTTATTCATATTACTGGCGGTGTGTTTCTCTCTCAACTATATATCATAACCACTAACAGCACCATCTTCCCATGAATGGCAATAAATAAAGGAAAGGCACAGCCCAGGGAGGGTCTAACAAGTCCCCGTAGTACTTTTCACCGATGGAGATGAACACGTTGTAGAAGAGAGCAAAATAAAAATATTTTTTAACCCAGTTAGAAAGTGGAGAAGGGAGACAATGAACGAAGAGGAAAGAAAATGAAAGAGGGGCAAGAAAAAAGGATGATGGAAGGAAAACCTATCAACTAAATCGGACATTTCAAATCTGCTTATTTCATGAGCCACGTCCTAGTGCGCATAATTCTTCAGCTTCACCTGAGAATAACCAGAGTGGCCGAAGGGCTGAGGACCACTGAGGAGGTGAAATCCCCAGCACGTGTCTCAGGGTGTGAATACCTGAAGGTGAACTTGGTGCAAGTAGCAGGGTTGTCATTAATGTCCTTCACCAGGAAGGTTATCTGCATGCGATTCTCCTGACCCCCGAAGGGTCTGTCCTTCACCAGAACTTCCAGAGAAATGGCGGGATTTTGTCTTAATTCGCCTGCATCTCGGTCTAGCCTGTGGGCCACTTGGATGGTACCAGTCACTAAGAAGGCAAAGATTAGAACATGACTCTTTGGAGAGAAATGAAGAATAAAGGCAGATGGAGACCTGTAGTACATTGAAAAGAACATTCTGACATGGGGACAGGCTTACACAGAGACTATCCTCACACAAACTCATTTTTAAAAATTCATGTGTAAGTTTGTGTATTGGACATTGATTGGGGCATCTGGCCCGACCCTTCTAGAATTGTTTACCCCATACTTCAGGGTTGGGCCCATAGATGAGTGGACTGGTAGGCAGCTGACTCCCGCCGGACCCCCTGGGTTCCCTTACTGGAGATTTTGTAGCTGAGAGACATAAGTTGGGTAACCATTCAGATTAATAGTAGAGCGACAGGTAAGAGGCCAGAACTCTCGCTGCTGAGGTTACTGGAGCAGTGCTGATCCCCTGCCTTTCCAGGTCCAGACTGCCCCACTCTTTCTCATGAGATACCTAGCATCCTATTGATGTGCCCCTATCTTTATTTTTCCCCCCTCTTGCTTGGTTTGATTTGCCTTAATTTCTGTTACTTGCAACCAAAGAGTCTTAAATATACTCCCCCTGCAAAACACTGTATTGGTTAAAAGTTCCATTTTGCAATACTAGCATGAACAACATTTTAAATCGTGGTTGTCTATCCCTATACTATCAGCTGAGTGAGGTCCTTGGTGACAGAGAATTAGGAAGTTTTTAGAGGTAGAGCACAGTTATGGCCTTTGCCTATCTCTCCTGGGAGCAAGGATCCTTTGCCCTAAAGCCTATGGGGCAAAGAACACATTGACTTTCTGGGATTGTTCCATGCTGGCCTCCACAAAACCATTATGTAAAGTGAGGTCTCTTTTGGTGATGCATAGGGACTCTTGAGGTGATACAGTCTAGGAGTGGTGAAGAGGGTAAGATCTGAAGTTGGGCAGCTTCAATGTGTATATCAGACTCACAACTTACAACCTGTGAGAGCTTGGACAAGTGGCTTAACCTATCCGAGTCTCTTTCTAAGCCTCTGTTTCCTCATCTGTCAAATGCAGATTATGACAGTTTGTTGAGTTGCTGTGCTGAGTACTTTATTTTTTAATTATTTTTATTGATTTTTTTAGAGAGGGGAAGGACGAGAGAGAACCATCGATGTGAGAGAAATAGCGATTGGTTGCCTCCCGTATGCACCCAACCAGGTATAAACCCGCATCTGGGTATGTGCCCTGATGGGGAATCGAACCCACTACCCTTTGGTGTACCATATGCAATGACGCTCCAACCAACTGAGCCACACTGGCCAGGGTGTGCTGAGTAATTTAGATGAAAAGTATGGGGGTCACTCAACAGAGAGCCTGGTCTATTTTAAAAGAAACTTCCCTTCTCTGCACCGAGACACCTAGATGGGAAAATAATGCCCAGCAATCCAGCACATTGATCTAGATCAGTGTGGTCCAGGACAGTAACCACGAGCCACATGTGGTGAGCACTTGAAATGCCACTAGTCCGAACTGAGATTTGCAGTAAATATGAAATACACAACAAACTTCAAAGCCTTGGTACAAAAAAAATAATATAAAATATCTCATTCATAACCTTTAAATATTAACTACATGTTAAAATGTTTTTGACCTATTGGTGTTAGCTAAAATGCCTTATTAAAATTAATTTCACGTGCTTCTTTTTAGTTCTTAAAAATGTGGCCACTAGAAACTTGAAAATGGCTTATGTGACTTCTGTTTCTATTGGACAACACTGGTCTAGACCCCCTTTTCAGGCCAATGAATTCACCCATCCTTACATAAAGAACCTGCCTCAAGAGTGAAATAGTGGTACATCTGTTGACTGTTTAGTTTCTGCAACCCCCATTCCAGTTGGGTTTTTTGTTTTTATTTTTCTGTTAAACCTCACCAGAGGATATTTTTTCCATTGATTTTTTTTTAAGAGATAGCCAAAATGAGGGAGAGAGAGAGAGAGAGAGAGAGAGAGAGAGAGAGAAAGAGAAACATTGATTGGTTGCCTCTTGCATGTGCCCAGACCAGGCTAGGGATCCAACCTACCAGCCAGGTAGGCGCCCTTGACTGGAAATCGAACCCACGACCCTTCAGTTTACAGGCCGACACTAACCACTGAGCTACCGGCCAGGTTGATGTCAGCTGTTTTTAAGACGCTTATTACCCTGTTAACTTATGATATTCTAGACCGAAAGGCATGCCCAGATCAGAAGGCACACAACTATTTGAAAAACAACCCAAACGGCTGGCTGAATTAAAAGATGCACATAAATGATGTGTGCGTGAGCTACTTACACTGATTTATCATGAAATAGCTGTTAACAGTAGTGATGCTGTAGAGGAGGAAACTGGTCAAACCTTCATTATCAGGGTCTTCAGCTGTGATATTGGCCACGATGGTTCCTAGACCCAGCTCTTCCGGAATCACATACATTCGCGTTGGGCTGGAACAAAAATACAGCAGACACAGCTAATTTTCAGGGACACGGGAGGGTAGAGACTGGAGGTGGGTATTTTGGTTCATGCTAAATATAGCTCTGAGCTGTGGAAGTTGCATCAGCATGCTCAGAGGGAGGACGCAGCAGCTGAAAGGATGGGAGGCTGGCTGTTGTATTTCCAAGGATCACATCCCTGTGGGTGCAATGAAAGCGCCGCGCCGTTACTGCAATGGTTTACGTGGGCCGCGGTCTCGGACTTCACCCATCCCTGATGCCATTTCAGATCAGCGTTAACGTTGTTTTAAAATAGGCATAGTTGATTTGTCCAGCCATCTTCTCTTTTTCTTCCAATTCTTGTGCAGAAGGTCCCTGAATGATTTTTAAAAGCCATCTGGAAATAACGTCCAGAACGACAGATTTCTGATTCCCATCACATGGCAGCCACCAAAACCAGACACATTGTAAACCTTCTCTATTCTAGTTTTTTTTTTATTTCTTCTCTGCTCAGTTTTGTTTTGTTTTGTTTTGTTTTTTTATTTCTCCCTTGTCCTTTTTTGTTTCTTTGCTCGAGGAGGCAGAATGTATGCACAGAACTTGTGTACTTTCCCAGGTAGCATTAATCATGAGTTCAGCTCTCTGAATGGAGAAATGAGTACACCCCCCACCTCTCTGCAGAAGCCAAGGTGAGAACACTGCCCTCCAAGAATGACTTCTACAAAACAGCCTCAAATTGCCAATTTACCCATCTTCCTCAGACCTCCGCTGCCTTCAGAAAAGGCTGGTAATAAGACAGGGAGCTTTGAAGTTTTAACTACGCAACTTGGGTAAATTGAGTGATTCTGAATGCAACAAGGGAGGCTTATTGTTTAAAATAACTGCAGGAAGTCCTACTGCTGAGGAAAAATCACTTCAGTGGGGCAAGTAGTCACCGCTAATTTGCCAATTTCCTAAACGTGGATTTTCCCACATGAGATCTTCGTTAAGAGGGA